AACAAGAAAAAGAAAAAGAAAAAGAAAAAGAAAAAGAAAAAGAAAAAGAAAAAGAAAAAGAAAAAGAAAAAGAAAAAGAAAAAGAAAAAGGAGATGTGGGAGGAGCTCAGATGCAGGTAGTTTGGATCACTCATTTTAAGTTATTTAGTTACTGCTGGCGTATAACTACTGGCACCCAATTAAATTCCTTTCAGCCCTCAGGGGTTGAAATCATAGAATTATTAAGGTTGGAAAAGACGGCCAGGATCATCAAGTCCAACTTCAACCCATCCCACCATGCCCTCCAACCATGTCCCTCAGTGCCATAATGTTTTCCTCCGTGCAGCTTCCAGCTGCCCTGCCCCAAGCCCGCAGAGCTGCGTGGGGCTGCTGTGCCCCAAGTACGGAACTGAGCACTTGGTCCTGTTGCAGCTCATCCCATTGGCCTCAGCCCAATTCTCAGCTATTCCCAGAGCTGAGAGCTGAGAATGGAAAAAACATGCTTCACTGCCAAATTTGTAGAACTATTTGGTAAAACTCGTGTAGCTGGGACACAAGGCTTAGCAAGTGCATGTCTCTCCAGAGAGCAGCTGTTTTTCCCCTGTGCTACCAACACCTGCCCATCTCTGTACGGATCTGAAGCAGTGTGCTGCACATCTCCCCCAGCCCCTCTGCCAGACCCATACCCAAGTAGCTGGTGAAGATGGAGCCCACCAAGTGACTGCAGTGAGGCTGATGGGATGAGCTCTGGACACACACAGTTGTGTGAGAAATGAAGGTCTGAGTTCTGCTGCGCCTGGACCTCCAGTGCCCATCGCACATTCCAAGCAATTTGTTTGGATCTGGAGAACCAAGGTCCTTTCTGGAAGGGCTGTGCTCTATCATTTGTTCCTCAGCTTGTGTTGACAGTGGAGGTTGCTGTGACCCAGGTTAGTCGCACTGCATTTGTTGAACTTCACAAGGTCTCCTAGCCATGCTGCTCAGTCTGTCCAGGTCTCTCTGGATGGCATCTTATCCCTCGGGTACATCAACAGCACCCTCAGCTTGGTGTCATCCACAAACTGCACTTGATTCTGCTGTCAGTGCCATCAAGGAGATATTAAAGAGCACTGGTCCCAGCACTGATCCCTGAGGGACACCACTCGTCACTGATCTCCATCTGGACACTGAGCCATTGACCACCACTCTCTGGGTCCAGTCTGGCAAGCAGTTTCCCTTCCATCAAAAAGTCTGCCCACCAAATTCATATCTTTTCAATTTGTAGAGAAGGATGTTGTAGTGGACCACAAGGCCTTACCAAAGTTTGGATAGATGGCATCAGTGACACTTCCCTTGCCCATTGATGCAATTATGCCATCATAGAAATCCATATGTTGGTCAGGCAGGACCAACATATTGGTGAAGCCATACTGCCTGCCTTATATCACTTCGCTGCCTTCCATGTGCCTTACCATAGCTTCTGGGAGGATCTGCTCCATGATCTTACCGAGCAGCATTCCAACACCCTCAAGGATGAGAGAAAACCTTGGCCGCCATGTACCAGCCAACACCCTGCCTGTGTGCTGCAGCCTGTTCCTTCACCCACAGGCTGAGTCTGGCACAAAGCTGGGCATCAACAGCTGCCCTCACTCCAGGAGCAGGGGACAGAAGCCCCTATCCAGGACAGGGAGACCGACAGCAGGGATTCAGTTCTACACAGCCCCTCACAGTTGCAGCTCCCCAGACCTCACAGCACCAGGAGCCGTGGGGTCCTCGAGGGTCAGCTACCAGCACCACCAGCCCAGCACTGAGTCCATTGCACACAACAGCATGCACCAGCATCCTTAGCTCCTGGGTCATGCTGGAGCCACCCACAGCAGACACCTACTCTGCGTACCTCAGCTAACCCACACCACTATTCTGGGAGCCCGCAGGGAGCTCTGAATTGCTCATGTCGTTCTTTACACCCACCCACGTGTGCCAGCTCAGTGCGTGCGAGGAGCGCAGCGCTCTGCTAACCCACACCCCTGGCACACGGCTGTGAGTCTGCACCAGCAAAGCGAGGGTGGTCGCAGCCCACAGCTGCCAGCAGAGCCCAGAAGCAGCATTCCTGGCACCGAGCTGGCTCACAGCAAGGGCAAGATGCAGCTCACAGCAGAGTGGCTCATCAGGGCCACAGCTCTGCTTGGGCTCAGACAAACACAGACAAGAGCGATAGCCTCAGTGGTTTCAGAATTTGCAAGATGCTGCAGAATTTGCTGCTCTGTTTTCTGAGCCTGCAAACAGAACGTGGTATTAACCACATGTTCTGTGAGATGTATATTTCTTAAGAGTCGGTGCTTTTTGTGCTCTGGTGTGTTTTGGACATGCAACAAAGCATTGTGTTTTCTTTGAGTAAAATTGAACTGTATTATTTGAAAGGAAGTTTACTGTATGCTTCACGTAAGTTTTTATGAAAACCATCTGAAAGCCTAAATGGGAACCAAGCTATAATCTCCATGGGTGTTTTGAGGTAGAAAGACACACGAGGACCTGGAGATCAGGGTGTTTTCTGAGAGAACACATCTCTAGAACTGCTGGTCTGTAAATCTGACTGCAGAGAGTCCTACTGGGGACAAGCAGCCCCCAAAGCCACTGTGAGTAATGCATAGATTGCTCAGCAGAGTGGCTCTGTGATCATACAGCTCTAGATGTGTCCTTTCTGGTGAAGGGACGTGGAATCTTTAGGGTGCCTTCACTAGAAGCAGGCACGTGTCAGCAAGACACTCTCAATCCAAAATGTGCCCACAAAGCACATATACACGCAGATCTGTATGTCCATCTTCCTTGGTGGTATAGAAATCAAAAGGAAATGGTGTGACAGTGATCATATAGATCTGCCTCTTATTAATAAATAACTCATGCCCAAGCATGAGGTTCACCAGGCTGCTTGGTGCTGTTTTCCTGGGAGCAGAAGCTGCAGGAAGACTCAACTGCTCAAGCCAGACCACGCTTTCCACATGTCTGAGGCAAGTGGGCTGAGCTGGGGTGGTCTTTGATGGGCAAGAGCTATGTGGGGGCCAGAGCCAGATCATAAGGAAGGAAATGGTTTCAAGTTGCACCAGAAGAGATTCAGATTGTACATTAGGAACCCTTTCCTCATAGAGAGGGTGGTCAGGCATTGGAACAGGCTGCCCAGGGAAGTGGAGGAGTCCCCATCCCCGGGAGGTGCTGAAGGGATGTGTGGATTTGGCACTGAGAGAACGTGGCTTAGTGATGGGACTGGGTAGGTCAGGCTGACAGTTGGATTTCATGACCTTGAAGGTCTTTTTCAATTGTCTATAAGCAGAAGTGCTTCCACAGAGGACTTGAGCAAGCTAAGTCATGACTTAGAAAACCAGTCTGCAAGCAGCTTTGGAAACAGCTGTAGCACTAAGTCAGCAGGGAGGTCTAAAAGCTAGGTCCCAGTGCTCCCAATTTTCTCTCTACCCATTGCAATCTGGTCTGGGCATCTCAGGACAGAGGTGTCAACCCAGAGTGGTTTCTTACTTGCAGGTGATTCCACGAAATGGAAAACTGCACGGCATATTCAGAGATATCTCATGCCTTGGACCTTTACTCTCCTTCCATGGAGACGCAGATTCATGACTTCTAGGAACACGCTGGATGTTGTGACAGAGTGAGCTCACATCCTTTCTGCTCAGCCATTCACTTGTTCCCTCATTGCACACTTGCATATTTGCAAGACCTCTGATTGCGTTTCCTCCTGTTTTGTCTGAAATAGCTGCTCATCCCTCCTGCCCTGCAGTAGTGCTCCTCGTCTGGCACCTTGCCGCAGTGACATTGCTCTTGCTTCCTGGTGAGCTTCAACGTCCCCATCTCCTGTCATCTTGGCGATGTTCAGCCTGGTCTCTTCCCATCTGCCACCCTACGCAGCGGTTTCCCTGGCTGTGCTCAGCTGCCTCAGCTTCCAGTCCTCTACCAAGCCCTCAAAGTCGTATCCTTTCCATAGTTTTTCATACCCTCTATCTTTAAGATCCTCCTGGAGGTCAGAAAGAGGTGCAGAGTCCACCAAAACCCTTCCTGGGACGTGGCAGATCTGGGACTAGCCTCATGTAGATGTGCTCTCCTCTCTGCTGTGCAGCCCCAAGAGAGAGATCCTGCAGTCAAGGGGAGCTGGGTGGGACTCAAAAAAAAGAAGTACCAAAAACCAGCTGAGAGGAATTGCAGAGCTGTATCCAGGGCCACTTTTCACTAGGAGTCTCCTAATCTCCAGCTAGACACCCCCAAAGAAACTGTACCAAACATCTGAAACCATTCCTTATCAAATCTTATTTTATTCTCATTGAATCAGTCACTAAATTAAGATGCTTCATTATTTCTGTCTCCATTGCACAGGGCACAGCTACTGGGCAGCACTTCCAGCCCCTGGGTGCTTTCAGTGAGCATCACCGGCTGATGCAGCAGCTGAGCTGAAGGACAAGAGAGCTGCCACCTGGGAGAACACTGCTGTGGAGGTCCTCCCTGGGCCATGGCCAGCAGCACAGCACTCTTTGGACAATACATGTGGTCCTCTGGGGCTGACAGTAGCA